TCGAAGTTAATAAATACTGTATCATTGTCTAATATTTATAAGAATTATATAAACTGAATTGCAAAGTTGAAAATATTTGTTTAAAGTATATTAGAATTTAAGTCAAAATTACAATTAAAATCTGAAATATTTTTGATTTAGAATTATATCAGAAACCTTCAAAACATGAAGAAATGTAAAAATGTCTTCCCCTACGGAAAGTTAATAAAATACTAATAAAACGCAAACTATATTATTTAATGTACGTATGTGAAGACGCCCGGCGCAATGATAATTAAAAAGTCAATTAATTACACAACAAAATATTACTTCGAAGGACCAGATATAATTCATTATTAAAATGGCTAGATCAGACCAGATATAAAATTAGTTAATTGAAAAAGTGATTAAGTTTAGTTTAGAAGTACAGCTGATGTAAATAATTTAACTGAAAATGATTGAATTTCTACTAACTAGTACCTAGGCGGAAGCTGTATGGCATAGCTGATTTTTTTTATTGTCGTTTTATTTCATTAAGTATTCCAGATATACAAATATATTATTGTATAATTATATTAATGACATATACAGTAACTTATAACTAACTAACAAGCAGTAAGTAAGTAATACAGTAAGTAACTTATACGGTAATTTGTGTTCTTATATTAACCAGTTAACTCATATTAACTGTGATTGACAAATATACTCATCATGTAGAAGTGACATCATTTTGTGTATTAATTGTTTATTTATCATGTGTATAAAACAATAATTATTTGCTATTTAAATTGAACATTAAATATTGTTCTAGTAAAAACAAAGACTTTTACACCAATTTTCATTTTGCATACATTGCTTACAGATAATGATAATTAGTTACATAAAACTTTACTCGTAAAACGATGAATAATTGAATTATCATTTAACTAAAAAAGTTTGATTTTTTTGCCATTTGATATATGTCATTTATATGCCTACATTAATACTGCCCAAATGGAAAATGTAACTGTATAAATAAGTTCCAATTATCATGCAAAATCAATATATTTTTACCGGATTATGTATCATATTAATCGAAAAACTTCCCTTGTGGATTACTGGTTACAACTATGTGGTTTTAATAAGAAATCCCGGATTCTGTACCCGTCTCGGGCAGCTTGAAGTCAAGCAGTAGTGGCATAAGTTTTCACTTGGAAATATAGATGGCTATATGTTTTCATACAAATATAGTCATTGGCCAGCCTTGCAGCATTAACAAAACAATTCAAAATCATTCAATAAATTAAATTATTAACTAATTTATCATCATACAAAAACAAACAACAATGAGCATGAGTGTTATTTGTAATGTTTTTTTTCGGAAAAAATCTAAATGTTCATATAAAAATAGGATGTTGTTATGCAAAATTAAAATAGATCTAAGATGGACTAGTGACACTAAGTGAATACAGTATATAAAAAATACAAAGACCAATATTTTGAAACTTAAAAGAACTAAACCATATCAAAGACAGGGCCATATCAAACCATATCAAGACATAAAATAAGAAGGGTCCTAACTACTTATTGAAGATATGAATATGCACATTAGTACTATTAGAACTTACAGATTTGAATTTGAAACTACTACCAAATAGAAGATTAAAGACGAAATGACCAATTTATCTAACTAAATAATAGTCCAAACACTTCTGAAAGGTCCGTCAAATAACTTTCTTTCGAAAATGCTATAAAAAACTACTGAATGTGTTCTCAAATTTCTTTTTTCATTGAAAAGCAGAAAGTGCAATCCTTCCAGTTAATAATGGAAAATAATTTAGAAACAAAAACAAGAAATATATATTCATAGAACAAAATTTAAAAAAAAGTTGGATGGCGGACCAAGTATTATTAAAGATTTTAATTTTACTTGATAATAATTCTATAGAACTGCAAGGTTTGGATTTACTATATTATATACATTTGGATTTACTATATTACTATTCATGTATATGCCTGCTAAATTTTTCTAGACACTCGCTTTGAGTATGTGATTAGAGCTATGGAATTTTAACAATAGTTTTCAGGTCCGATATTCGTCTCAAGATGTCAAGACATCGGTTATCATTTTATCCGGCATGTCTGCAACAATAAAAATTCATCATTATTACAAAAATTGTAATAATAAAAGTTCATCACATAGAGATGGAACAACTGTTCTGGTTCCCATCTATGAAAACCAACGTAGTTAGTTAAGTAAATAACCGCAACAGCTCGTAGAACCCTTAAGTTCTGATAGCTGTTTTAGGAAAAAAAACTTCAGAATACATCTTTGACTTACAGCAATTTGTGAAAATTAAACTAACGATTTATTTTTTTCAGTTGCCGAGCCGGGAAGTTACGTGGGCGCCACTTGCACCGATAGCTGCTCCTCGAAACTGCTCCACGTGCGATGCAACGCCGCTACGTCTCGCTGCGAGTGCGAACCCAAATATCCGGTGCTCGTCAAACCGGAACGGGGATGCACCGAAGGTGGAGTAGCAATTCTGAATAAATTAATATATTAATTCATTTATTATATACTTGACTTAACGTTATGACTTTAGATAAGATTTCAGCTGTATGTTAATTTCATAAATTAGTCACGCAGCTGATTTAATAATGTTTTTTAATCCATCTTAACATGTAATTAAACTATCAACTGCTATAAATTTGCTGCGACAGTTGTTAATCCTAGAATACGAACGGCAAATAATGGACGAGATTAACCCTATGTAATCGTTGCGAATTATAGCAAAAAAATCTGTTGGCTGCTGAAAGCCAATTAATACGCAGCTATAATACATTTTTAAATATAATGATTTCTCATTATTATATAAAATATTTTACTTCATAATTTCATTATTTTGCAAGAATGTGCATGTATACACACATACATATATATGTATTAATATATATTGTCAAACCTTACTTTCGACTCTTTAAAGACAATGCGGTCTACAGATCACGTAAATATTAAAAGCTGACAGAAGCAATAATGGAAACTTGTTCGAACAATCATACTTCATCTTTCTCCTTTTGGATCCTATCTCAAAATCAGTTTAGTTTAGCGGTTATGACGATTGTCACTACTGTGCTCTGGCATAACCGTATCCAGAAACCCTTACTATTTTAGCAGGTTTCCTCAGGCATGATCTTGAATATAATTACGAATTCATACAAGAATTATTTGTTTATATTCAATGAAATATATTAATGTCATAATTGAGTTTTCTTTTATTCAATTTTCACAATTAATTTTAAGTCAAGGATGAATATTAAAAATTATTCTTTTTCTAAACGTTTTTCAACTATTAACTCAAAATTAGTCACGATAAATCGGTCTTTACTTAAATATTTATTTTTGTTAAATTTTGTTATTGCTATTTTATTATTGTTAAAAATATATATATTTACAAAAAATATGATTTTGCATAAGTAAAAGTTTTAAGACTAACTGATGCTGTTGTATGTCTAAAACAAATTCAGACTTAAGGTTTCGTACTCAATTCTATTATATCAAAACATTTTTGATACTATACCAAAAACAAATATTTATAAAAAGGTGTAGTTAGAAATTTCGCTCACCAACTCCACAAATATTTATTATCTTTAAAACCGAGCCCATAATAAATCAAATACAATTAATTGTTAAAGTTCCTGTATCTGTTGCTTCTGGATTTACTATGTAATAAAATTCGATTCATTCAAAATGATTTAATTATCTTTTAGACGAGTTATGTATGCCAATCACATAGTAGCTGAATATGCTGATTGATGAGTTTTTAATTGATACGTGATATGAAACATCAAATTACACATTTTTATTTTACTAAAGCATGTTAGTAACCTTTGATAAACTCGTCTCCAATACTACATTTGTAAAATCAAAATATGAAAAAAAATAGAATAAATCTATATATATATATATATATATATATATATATATATATATATATATATATATATATTTATATATATATCCGCACATAATTCTGAATGACATTTGCATTAACAGTGTCTAATGACCGGGCGTAATATCAATTCAATTTCATTTATGATATTGAAAACAATAACAAATTGGATTTGTTACTAAGTGAAGGCCAGGACTTTAGGATGTATGAATTTAAAAAATAAAAAAAAATCGTAGAATTTTGAAGCTATGCCTTTAGGATGTATAAATTTTAAAAATGAAAAAATCGTAGAACTTTAAATGAAAAAATAGTATGCAAGGTTTACATCAATCAACTAACTAATCTTCAATCAACTAACTTATCACTAACAGAAAAAAATGGATTTATGTAGATTAATAAAATATTAAATATTAAAAATAATGTGAATAAAAAAATATTTTTTCGAGATAATTACGCCAATGATTACATCAAATTTTATATCGAAACGTTGAAAAATTAAAGATTAATTTAAAAATCTTTACCTTTTCGTTGGATGTATTTAACTAAAGAAAAATCCCAATCATAATGAATAGTATAGAAAATAAATAATAATCTGCCTTAAGTTAATTTTCTAGATAGTGCAGCAATTTCGATAGCAATACTTATCTTCTTATTAAATTTATATCAAATTAACTTCATCTGTTTCTAATTATTAATATATTCTTACGACTTTATTTGAAAGTTTTATTAATTTAATTTCAAACCTTCATTTTCGTTGAATTTCATTTTATTTCGTTATTACTATTTCCATAGGTAAAATCGATAAAAAACTAATATTTTAGATAAAATTGAAATTTAATTTTAAAATAAAATAATAAAATATATTTTCTCAGTTTTATATTTCACAATCAGACATTGTGCTGCGACTGAATTCTAAATTACTGATAAATTTTACTTTTGGATGAGACTTGAGTAAGCTTAACAAAAGCCTGAAATATTTCATTACTACTAAAAAATTAATGATATATATTTCTGCTGAGGGATTGTTCAAAAAGTGTTTGGATTATTTAGAAATGTATTTTTTTATTCTGATATCTTATATATTTTCAGTCAAGAAGTTGGGAGAGCAGTGTTTTTATCTGCAATCCTGCGAGCATTACGACGAGCACTCGTCCTGTGTCCAAGTCAACCACAACGCAATCTGCCAATGCGATCTTGGCTACCATTCAGTGTCTTATCAGCGGCCGACGAAGCGCATATTCTGCACTGAAGGTAATTACCCTTAGGTGATAATTGGACTTACTTAATCCTATTGTCAGCGGTGATAACAAAGAGATTTTGTTGGCTGAGGGAAGAGTTAAGCGTTTAATGAGCTTCTTGGGGCATTAACACTTTTTCATACACTTTCATACTCGTTGGGTACACTTTTTTCATTAATTTGGATGATCATCATTAGAAATCATTTAGCCTGATTATGCTTTATTATATTTCCTTTAATTTTTATACAGAATCTGAACTAATAATTTGATTCTTTTCCTCAAAAACAAATCATGATATACGTGTATAGTATATGTATATGTACAGAGTGTCCAGAAGTGAAAGGTGGCGGTATCGATTACAAAGTCAAATTGTGACTATTATTAGGTTATTATAGTTAATTTCTGATTTTATTATATTAATAAAATAAATGCATCACTAGTGCTTTTTTGGCCATATACAAGCTTGATTCGAGTTGAGATTTCTTCTTATGTATTTAAATTAAGAAATGTTCGAGTCGTCACATCACCAATTTTTACTATTTTTCTTCCTGTACATTTGAGAACAGTAACAGTAAATAACAAGTTTAGAGGCAATCGGGGTAATTTAAAAAGTTAGTGGATATTTATTAAATAAATTTATCAATAGGGCTTTTTTCTTTTTTGTCTATATACAAGCTTGATTCAAATTGATTCGAATTTGGATTTTTTTTAATTCGAATCATTTGAATCTAAAAATTTTCTAGTCTGCACACACTAAAACTAAACAATTTTAGTTTATTTAATCGCCTAAAGTAATCTAAAATTAAGACAATGTATTAAAGTATGAATTCAAAATTTTCAAAGATGATCGGCTTTAAAAGGCTGATATATATATATATATATATATATATATATATATGTATTAGGGTGGTCCTTAAAATAGTCATTTTCGAATTTCCTTGCTCCCAGGGGCTCAAATAGTTTCAAATTGATAAAAAACAATTCTCTGGAAGTTTTAGCTCTTAATATTAACGTTTAGATAGAGCGCAATTCAATCAAACTTCGTATGAAAAGAGCATGAAAAATTTTTTGAAAATTTTAGAAAAATGTTTTAGGAATAACTTGCGACAAATGAATGAGTTTTATTCATTCATTTGTTCGCTAAATTACATCTAAAAAACATTTTTAAAATTTTTGAAAATTGTTCCATGCTATTTCCATACAAAACTTTAATATTAAGAGCTAAAACTTTCAGATAATTGTTTTTTATCTCTTTGGAACCATTTGAGCCCCTGGGAGCAAGGAAATTCGAAAATGACCATTTTAAGGACCACCCTAATATATATATATATATATATATATATATATATATATATATATACACTTGATTGATGAATTTGTCATAAATTTATGTTTGTGATCCGAACAGGAAATCCAAATGAAAACAAAAGTATTGTTATTTGAGAAGTGTTTTTTATTCATAGACTTTCTGCGAGTCGGAATAAGAAATATCTTTATTTAATATAATTTTATCCACCTGTTTGTGATTAAAATTTAATATTTCAAACACATATTCTGCGTATTGAGATAATATTACTTACTTACAACTACCAATGTAAAATATTTTAATAGTACAATTTTAATTAATTCAACTATCATATCACAAAAGGTTAAAAAATCCAGATAACACATATAATATGTGTTTTTGAACCGACTCGCAAAAAGCTTTGTTGTTAATTGGATTATCTGTTCCAGTCTAATTCAATGTTTTATTTTTTGCAATGCATACGAATGATTTACAAACAAACCACATAACACAATATTATAACATTTATTATTAATTGATTGCAACTAACATTGTCATAAAACAAAACATATAATTCTGATTTATTTTTAACTTCCCGTAGGGTAAGTTATTGTAATCGTCAAAAAATCTAAAATGTAATTTTTTGCATATCTTTACACGTTTCAGAGGTTTCTCAACATTTTGGCATAACTTAGAAAAAATGTAGGTGTGTGTACGTATGTATAGAAACAATTTTTTGTAGATGTGCACCGATCAACCTATTGGAATGATTCGAAAACATTCGACTCCTATTAATGGGGATACGTTCTGTTTTTAGCTTAGGTAGGTCCAGCCGTTTTGAAAATACGGGACAAAAGGCGAAAAAATAAAAAACATTTTTTGATTAAATTAAATTAATTTATGACAAGGTTTCGGAGATCAAATAAAAAATTTAAAAAAAGCAATTTGATGGTCAGAAATGATCATTAGATATAGACATTACGCCATGTTTGGATTAAAATCCAAATTTTAAGATAATTTCTGAGTTTTAAACAATTTGAATAGAAATACCAGTAGTTTGCCTTAAGCCGCTAGATTTTCTCAACATTCACCACTATCTATTTAATAGCATAATGTTTTGATCGGATTTATTATGACATCGAATATCCAATTTGATTAATATTTGTGCTAAATTGACTAATATTACTAATACGTAGGAAGTTGTGATAGAGTGCTTGGTTGGAATATTGTAAATGGATGCAGTTGCACTTATGCGAAGTAGTTGCCTTTGCCAACGCTATAGTTAGATAGCCGTTAAATTAACCGCTATCCACCGGGAGTTACGGCTATGAAGTTAAATAAGCACTCCCTAAATTATAGTCATTTTAAGTGGTTTAATTCTGGCTAAAATCGTAACATGTAATACAACTATAAACCACAGCATTTAAGGGATATGGATGTATTAATTTTTTATTTTAAATATTGCACATTTAATTATTAGGATAGGGCGAGAGACAAAGATCCAATTTGGTGTCGGAATTGTTCTAAGAAATGTTAAAAAAATACAACTTACAAATATTTAGATACTTCAAAAATCATTTTTTAGGTTTCTGTATTCTGTACTTCCGCATTCAATTAAATCGAGAACGTTTGAATTCTTCTTTCCCTTGTTCTATCATTTTTTGTAGACTAGTGATACATGCGACTTTATAATTCAATTTGTATATTTTTTAGAAATCTATAAGTTTAGAATGATATTCAACATAAACTTTTCGAATAAATCTGGAATACTCTGGAATACTTCTCTGCATTTTAAATACCTCTTTTAAAATTTGTGCAGGCTGAATTGTTTTTTAGTTCATATATATCCAATATAATTTTGATCTAAATTGTTTATAAAAATAATTTTAAAATTGTTTTATTTTAGAAATATATGAAAGATTTTGTAAATTGACATTATGAAGTATGTTTTGTAAATTAATTTCTTGGCAAAATAAGATTATTCTCAGTAATTCATCACAGCCATAAAGTTTATAATAAAAGTTTGTAAGATATCTGAAAAATTTGTTTGCTATCAATACTTCATATTTTGAATGTACAACTATTATTATATTTAATCATCAAGCAATTTTAGTTGAAGATACCATACATAGTTAAAATGATTGTCTCATTCCATTTCATCATTTTTGTCATCATCGAATATTTTTGGTTCAATCTGAAATTGACAGGTGGTTATTTTATTTATAGCCAGATATGCTTCCCGAACTAATTTTGATTACTTTTTGGCAAATTTTCAATTTCCGTTTTCGAGAAACAAAATTATTTTAGTTTATTATTGAAATGTGTTCTACAATAAATATATTTTCAAGAAAAGTACTTTATATAATAGTAAATATAATTAAAAAAAATTCTCATACTTTCGAAACTAATATACTTTCTTTATTTAAAGTAATTAATTAACTTTACTTTTCATGATCAGTATTGAAGTGTCAAAAATAACATTCAATATAAAGGCATTATTAACTTCCCGAAAGAGAAGTTTCTGTTTTAATAAAAAAAATGCGATCGCTAATATTATGTTTTCTCGACGTTTCAAATCATTCTGAATTGTAGTATGTGTAAAGTATGTGTGTGTGTATGTTAACATATTTTTTGCCGTAAATCGACGATTTCTCAGAAACGGCTGGGTCGATTTTAGAAATTTAAAAGCCATTCGATGTATCTCAATGAGGGCTATTGTTTGTCTGAGCAGATGTTGTGCGACGATCTGCCGAGCCGTTTCTTTATATTTTGGAAAAAAGTGTTAAACTTTTCGACCACATTTAACTACCGAATCGATTTTAAAAAATCAAAAACTGTTCGAAGAATATTAAATAGAATTTATACTCATTAGTTTTAGGTGAAAATTAAGTTAAGTATAAAAATATATATACAACAATGCATAGGTATAGGTCTCTTATATACTAAATATTTTTATCAAAAATTATAAGCTTTTCGTGTGCTTTGATGATATAGTGGTTTATATTTCAAGTTTTCCCGACAATAATTCTAGGTATTTTTTAGACGATAGATAAAAACTATTATGAACCATCAGCAATAACATTGTTAGATAAGATTCCATCAAAACATTAGTAATTTTTTGGTCATACAAGTTTGTAAAATATTATATATAATTGTTGGATATTAAACAGCAAATTAATAATAGTAAAATAAAAAAGGTTTGGAATAGTTTATGTATGGTCTTTTATGATATTAAGCTTATTATAGTTACATTGGATTTTATTTCAATCATCGAGAACCAGATTTTTTTCGTACAAGTGTTATTTTTTAGGATATAGAGCGTATATCATAAGAAAGCTGTTTCTAGAGTATATATCATAAGAAATTGCCCAACTTGATCAAATTGAAAAAGCTTTGAGCTATAACATAATACTTTACTAATTACTACACTTACACAATTGCATAATTTTACATTTTTCTCCATATTCCATATTCCTCTGTCATCCAATTTGTTAGAATTGGTGCAGATTATTTACTTATCTATTATTTGGCTACAGTACTATTCTTTAGGTGATTCCCAAATAAAATTGTGAAGACTGAAGTAGCAATGAAAAAAGCAATGATGACGTATTATTGTGGAAGCCATTTTACTTATGTAAATATATCAAAATTTTTATAGTAAAAATGGTCATGTGGTTTTGCAGAAACTGTTAAACATTAAAAAACGATGTGGCAGCTGATGCACATTTTATTTATTAACATATCTATTTTCTTATTTCATAACGCTATGTGCTCTTCTACTAATATGTGCATAAAATTTATGCGTGGTACTACGTCCAGGTATCTTCAATGTGTCACGTGCCGTCTATATAACTAACCGCACGCGGAGCTTCCGGCCAGACGTTCCGTTTGGAAATCATCTACTAACACACGTACCTACTAACAACTAACGATGGGATAGAACTAAATCGGTTTAAATATCAAAGATCACTTTTGACTTATAACCTATTCTTGTATTTTAAGGCCACAATGGCTTAATTCCAGACATGTCCGTGCTGACGGCCGACGTGCCCACGCTGCTGGGCGTATCGACCGGGATCGCGGTGCTTGCCGGGCTCATATGCTTCGTCTTGCATCTGTTCAGCAGGGCGAGGTACCCGAGGCCGAGACACTACGCTGACGCAAACGATCCGCCTCCGATACTATTTTCAGGAAGTGAGACAGGTGAGATATGGCTCAATGACAACGATTAACTTTATAGTTCCGTATTGTCACCAGTGTGTCGATGTACTGTATCGATGTTTTGATGCTGTCGATACGGATTACTTTTGATATCAATACCCTAGTTCGATCCTTTTGGTCGATTCTGCGGTCAAATAGACCAATGTTATGGCAAATGGTACCAGATACTGTGAAAATGTGATGTGGTTGCTGTGCAGTCAGGCGTTTCAGATGAAATTTGACATCAAAGTTGCCTGATGTTTGGCTATGGCGGTAGCGGGAATCGAACCAGCGAACCAGGGACTAGTTGGTTCTAGCTCACGTTCTAACCGATATCGTCACCGCTGCTAGAAAACGCATAAATGTCAGAAAAAAACAATGTTATCATAACTGCGTCGATGTGGCATAATAACATATATATGAGTAAAGTTGCATTTTATGTGTAGAACCTGACTGCGAATCAAATACATGATATTTTGAAAGCATTTAGTACCATTTTTATGAGACGCGCTACGTAACATAGCCTTGCTATAATATTGGTCTATTTTACGACAGAATCGCCCTCTAAGTGCTTATGATACTTTTAATGGTTACGATCGCACTTATAAACATCAATCACGTTTCACTATATTCACTATTATATAACACAGGTCCACAATATTATAAAAAGTTGTCTGTATTGACGTGCTACATAATGTTTTCCGATACATTTTTACCTCGTGAACATGAATCAAAAATTAAAATTGGTAGTCAAAATTTGGGGTAAAAATTGGGAGTCGATAGAGATTTCTTCTGATATCAACACTTTAGTTCGATACATTTAAGTATCTATGATACTTTTAATGGTTAAGATCGCACTCAAAAAATATCAATAACGTTTGACAGAGTTCAAAGTTCACTCTATATAACATAGGTACACAAAATAAAAAGAGTTGTCTGTATTGGGTTTGCCACATATGTTTTCCAATGCATTTTTTTAAGGGTGAACACGAATATAAAGTCAAAATTGTGAGTCAAATTGCAAAAAATTGAGAAAATAAAACAACAAAATTTTAGATCTAAAATTTTTCTGCATGGTCATTAAAATTTTATAATTTATGTCGTTTCCCAGCCCTTTTCTCCTTTTCTCCTTATGTCATCCTCATCTCAGTTCAATTGTGTTTAGTATTAGCTTAGTTAAGCAACTTTCAGTAATAATTCAGATTGTCTAAAGGCAATAGAAAGTAAATATATTTGTAAACTACTGCTGGAAGCTGTTAAAAGATACTAAACAGGGATGAGCGTTGTAGAAATATATTGTATGGTCACTTAAAATGGCAAGGAAATGATAGAAATTGTAAGTATTGTTCTAGATAGTTAATTTTGATGGTTTTTAATTTCCCTCCATTTTTTAAAATTGAAAAATACTTTGAAAAACATTTGTCGCACACCCAATACAGCAACTTTTTTTATTTTGTGGACCTGTGTAATCGTTTCGTTTGTCGTTGCATAGCTTTGCGTTTATATTCACAAGCAATTTTTTTTTCAAGCAATCTCGATTTTCCCTTTCAATTTGTTACAATCTATGATGCATCATAAAATTTTTGAATTATTTCGTAGCTCAAATTTCCATTTCAATATTCAAATTGATTTTGCTTTAGAACAAAAACGGTATCGGCAATTATTACACGAGCAGCTTCATCGACATATTGTTACAAGAGCAGCTTCATTAGCACATGAACTTTATGTGCAAAAACAGATTTACATATTGTCGAGTGACAAAGTTCGAAAACGGGTACAAATACATGCTCGAAATGCGAATAATATGTCGAATATATTCACCTAACTTATCAAAGTGAACAAATTTTGCATACAAAATTTAGATTATTTGGAAATAAGCTCGTGGTGGGGTAATCTAAAAATACATATAAATTTTTTTATGGATAAGTACTGTGAATTAAATCGTGATTTCGTTTCTTTACTTCAAGTATCAAATGCAATTGAGTAAAATGAATCTTTGAGTAAAATAGACAGTAAAATACTAAGAAATTTATTACCGCTGTAGGGTCAGAGCATAACAGTTATTACCGAAATATTGGGGATGTATTGATGTTAATTTTAATTCTCACATTCTACTGCATTTAATTAATTATATTAATTATATTAAATTTCAAGAACAAGCTTCTTGAGTAAGGAAAAACATTAAAAACTTTAGTAAATTATAAATACATATATTAGGCTATTAATTTTACAAGATACGGTAGAGCAAGGCACAATGGTCGAAAATACTACATATCAATCAAACAACTAAGAAACTGTTCACTAAAATTGTCAGCTGACTCATCTCGATATATTGTCACTACTCAATTTACAGCTGTGTCTTATTAGATATCTTTTTTGGCATCATTAAAAAATACCTTAATTTACTTGTACCTGAGATAATGGTAGTTGATATTTCAAACCACGGACCTTTATTATTTATTTAAGCCCTGCCCTATAAAATACTGAAAATATCTCACAAGGAGACACCATGGATCAGTTTTTTTGTCAAAATTGGAAAGTTTACACAAATCGGCAAAAGAATCTAGGATTCCATACTAATTACATATACTAGTATTTTTATTAGAGATTGATGTTAAATTTTTCATTAGCTTACCCTACTGGAATTCCTTTATCTATGGCAGTTCACGGCAGATCTTCATCCAGAGCAAGTCAACGAAGTGCGATTTCCCTAACATCAGGATATTCGAGGCGTCCTTCGAGTGCTCCACCAGGATCCAGAGGCGTTTTAGTATCAGCATCGCGGGCTGGTAAGTCTTTTGCCAAAATAATAAAATTAGAAGTATTATAAGCATTAGAGTGGATTAAAACTACATCACAACGTACACAATCATACAACATTTATACACAACGGGTGGCAATGTAATGGTCATAATAGTAATAATTTATTTGAAATTTAATTAGTTAAATTTACAGTATTCAGATCAAATTTTGTATCTTTAAGTGATATTCATATGAAGAAAGGAGTGTAACATAGCGTTGTCATGGCAACTTCGCTATGTTACAGTCTATTTTAAAGCAAAATTTGCCCCATAATGCTGCTAGCGAAACTATTATAACATGTAAATAATTTCAACTTGACTTATTGATTTACGAAAAATTTTATATGTAGAAATGATAAACAAAATTGTAAATAATAAAATAAAAAGTATGTATCCTTACTTAGTCTTAGTTTGAAAGTGCATAATTTAGTACACGTACTTTTCTGCTTGCTTATCAAAATAATAGAAGAAATATTAATCTAGATGCTACATGTAAAGGCTTTCTTACTATTACCAACTATTTTTAGTAATTTACATTCCGCCTTTATAGAATTTTGCAATTGGCCATGGCGTAGTAAATATTTGATAGCGTTAGGCGCTAGCACGCATGTGAAAATTAGATTTTTTTTATCAGTAATGCACCCACATCACTACAATACTGCACAAAAACACATTACTACAGTTTTAAAATATTATTATAACATGCAATCTTAATATTATTTGTAGATATTAAAAAGTTACTTTGAGTAATCAAAATAAAACGATATAACAAAAATAATGTATTGGCTGATGTGATGTAAAAGTTTTTCAAATACAACTTTTTTATTTTATCGCTAATATAAATTATTAATCCAAAAAGTATATGATGGAGAATTCTGTATTTAAAATTTTTAGGCAATGGAAAATTACTCCCTTTTTACATAAAAAATGTTTATATTGACAAAGTAAATTAAACACAAAATTATTTTCTGATTATAATTTGCATTTATCTATGATTATTATTCTATAAATTTAATAACTTTGAGTATTTTCGCAAAATTTCAGAATTTTATTATTTTGAATTTTTATCTTATATAAATTTATAGAAAGTTTGAAAGTTTGATGTTATATAATTTCAAAATCACATTTGTTTCTAATTTTTACGGTAACTTCGAAAAATCTAAAGTTAAAGTATACATTCATATTCAGATTTTTTATATGTATTATACAAGTTTAAATTAAATTCCATTATTCTTTTAAATAAAGTATATAACTGCAATGCAAAAATTATATGGTTTTTAATATAAAATACTTAAAAATAGAGAAAGAAAATTTAGAATGATAATATGAAACATAGTTATGACTTCTGAAAAATCTCATTGCAAATGCCATGTTTATGTTTATGTTTAATTTATTTAAATATTCAAAATGTTTTTTTTTTTTATAAATATTATATTGAAGATTATTTTCTATTAAAGTCATAATCAAATTTAGTTCTTTTCGAGAGTATTAGCTATTCTTCTATATTATTTGGTTTTTATAAATGATTTTACAATTATTATTTCTTTATCATCTTTCAAACCTTTTATTTATGTCGTTAAATAAATTAATACGACCAAAACCCTGAGATAAAATTGATTACTACCAAAAAACGATCACGTGCAATCGTAGGACGAAAGTTGTATTTGGAAAACATTTCGGCATTGGTGAATTTTGCATGAAATTTTATGTCACTGGAGGGTTTCATTCGGAATACGTCCATAGACCTAAACTACCTGATGGCGTATCTTATATTGAAAAATTAAAAGAAAAAGGACGAATCGATCCTTAGATATTATATATATATATATATATATATATATATATATATATATATATATATATATATATTGATGTACGTATAACAACAAGAGGTAGAAGTGAGGAGTTAACTTGAAAAATTAATTTGTAACAAGGAAACACATGCTTTCCTTTGATACTCCAAACCCAAGTTATCATTTGTGTAGAAACGTGCTTATTTTTTTAGTCGCTCAATAAGCTATAATGATAAATTGAATAATTTAATTTGGGAAAGAATTGTAACTTATCTTATATCTTTCATCCTCAAACTGCTCTTTATATTCATACAACTCAGAATGAATATAAAAAACTCAGCTTAAACTGAAGATCATGTATTCAAAATCACAAAATTACCAATAATTTACGTTTATGAAAAACTGGTAAAAGTAAAAAAAGCACATTATAAGAAGTTTAGGTAATTAAGAAAAAATGTCTTAAAGCTTGATAAGTGAAAACTTACAAATTAAATAATTAGTTCAGTTCAGCGGATTCATACTAATAATTTTATCCGATAATTCCCCGTCAGCAGATTCAGTCAAAGGCAGTAAGAAAGTTTTCATTGTGTAAAATAATTTTAAAAAACTATTCCATGATGATGAAAGTTTGTATAGAATTACTTTACAAGTTATAGTTAGTTGTTTAGTAGAGAGTTATAAAACTGAAATTAATTTTTATTCTGGTTAAACAAAAAGCAATATAATTATTTTTTGAATCATGGAAATTGCAAGTATTCTAGACGGTTGTTGAATCATGGAAATTGCAAGTATTCTAGACGGTTGCACTAAGAAATATAACATTTAAGAGCTAATTCCCGGATAAAATAGCTATGTTATCGGTCTCTTATGATTGAGTAGTTGCACGAGTTGGTAATCACAAAACTAATATTTTGCCTACGGCAATTCATTAGAACGATCATTGCCATCTAAATTGTCAAAATCTAACCTACAAATGGCACAAATATCAACATACCATTAGTTCGAATTTTCCCATGTGTTATTTGAATGCACCTATAAATAAAATAAGAGTGAAGTCAAACTAATGTTAAATGTTGACATATATTTCATTCGAAGGTGAGGTTTCAGCAACAAGTTAGTAAAAAATGCTGAATTAAATAGCAAAGAAATACCTTTTCGAAAGTATTGTAAATATCTACTCATTGGCAGTATTGCTTTATTCCTTTGCCCCTTAGTCTTTCTATAGAGAATTTGCCCCTTAATCTTTCTACAAATAAAATTATTTTGACTTGCGTTTTTAACCAATCTCTAGTCAAGCTTTTAATTTTAATTATAACGTCAAGTAAGGACTACATCATCTGTGTTGTTAAATATTTCTATAATTATTGTTACCCCTTACAATGTTTCATAGCAAGTTATAAAAGGCAATATTTTAGAATTATTAAATGACATAACGTAAATTTTCTCCTGCACTATTCATGCTGACAATATATTTTGGATTATACTTTTAATCAATCCAACTTAGTATCTAGTAAATACGAATGTACCTCGGAAGCCACAATAAAGTAGATTTTCATGTGATATTACAAGATAGTCCATAAACTTGTTTAAGTTACTTTTCATGTAGATAACGGTATGATTTTGTTTTCTCAACCCTTCGCCCTCAAATGATGACAAGGAGGCCAATTTTCCGATAAAATAGAACGTTATGTTACGTTCCTCTATTCGTATGAATTAATAGTAAAAACTATAAAAAATCTACGTATTTACTGTACGATCAGGCGTTTTATACATAAAATTTAACTTTATGTATGTGTTATCAATGAGGCATTATAAAAATGCATTTTTTGTATATTTTTAATGGCCTTAATTTCTATAAGCTGTCGTGTTCTTAGTTAGTATTCTTAGATGAGAACACAATGACTAATTCACCCATATTTGATGATTTTTTATTATTAGAATTCATCTAATTCATCTAATTTTTTATTAGTGCAGCAATGCCGGATTAAAGGCTATTTTCACTTGGAAACATATTGCTATCTATTTTTCCAAGTGGAAATCGTTGTCACAGAGATGTATTTATGATAAAATTGTTATTAGACGTAAGTTAGGCTTCATGTGTAAATAACTGCTCGCACATCAAATACAAAGTTTTTAGACAGTCTGTTACTACCAATCCATACGAAGAAAAGTAACATAACGTTGTCGTAACATTTCTATTATATCGGAGAATTATCCCCAAGAAGACTTACGCAGTAAATTTTTTGGTAATTCCTACATGTTTTATGCATAACAATTCGGATTTCGGAATCTGCACTAACAAAGTGAAGATATGTTCAGAAATTCATATAAAAATTTGTATTGCAAATCTTCACTTGTAAATCACAAATTATACTGTATAATTTCACTTTCACAGGATATACGTTTTCGTCAAAATTTTACGTCGTGTTTCTAGTAGGTAACGTTATAAAGAAGCCGAGCGCAACGGATTTAATTTGAATAGGTACATAGTCACAATAAGAGCGGTCCATATTAGGGAGATTTTCTAGAAAAGCATAAGGTCATTGAAATAAACTAAGTATCCTATTTTAATAACAACGAGAAAATTGGAAATGAGATAGTCCAAGGTAGGCATGTGTATTTTATGTTCTTTTTGAGTCAAATAGCCATCTCTCGGACGTTTTTATTCCTACGATAAGTTACGCCGTCCATTAGTTCAGTTTGGGTCTATGGCATCGAAATCGAGTTATATAACGTGGGATACGCAGGTGCGGCCCGATCCGCCGCCATCTTGCTTATCTCGCGGCACATGAAGGAGTCCATGTCCCCGGAGGTCGGAGGCTCCGGCGGTGGCTCGACCGGCAACGGGAGAGTATCACCGGCCAGTTCGCGCATCCTGGTCGACGACATCGACGACATGACGTCCGACAGCGCGGTACGAAAGATCGGCCACGACGTACAACAAGACTCGTTACATCAACAGCACAAGCACCGACGATATCTAGACGCGTCTAAACTGTTGTTCAGTATGTTTTTATTTTGAATTTTACGAGTCGATGTCGTTTGCAATTTGTCACACACACGAGTGCTTGATGGGGAAATGTCATCGCTTTTTAGCAAGTGATTTTCAATCATGGATTGTTTAAGTGGATGGGATTTATAATTGGTGAACAATTGGCGCAAAACCTTTTTAGAGCAACAAATATTACTTAATAA